ATATGGTGTTGATGTGGTAGATCAGATGGTAAGAAAATATTCTGTGAAATCCTGTTCAAGACGTTGGCCAGTTCTTGTATTCTTCAACATTCTTGACTTAGCAGCCATAAATGCGTGGGTTTTATATAAGGAACTGATCGGTATCAACATAAGTCGCAGAGGCTTTATTTTGAAATTATCAGATGAGTTAAGAAAAAAACATCTTGACATGCGCAACATAATTCCTAAGAAAGACATTTCAACTGATCCCAAAACGCATGGTATAAAAAGGAAACAATGTCAAGTAACAGAGAATTGTAAAGGTAATAAAACAGTCAATATGTGTGAAAACTGCAAGAAATATATCTGTGGACCATGTACTGCAAACGTGAAAAAAATTAGTGTATGTATTTCTTCTGAAAAAGACTGAGCTATCGCTTTTGTGAGTAAATTATTATGAATTCTAATTATTGCCCCAACTACTATTAACATATCACAATTAAATAATGATTGTAACATAATAAATATTAAATAGATATTAGCCCGAAAACCTCTTATTGTGTTTAAAAAGAGTTAAAATGCATTAAATCTTATTTTAGTACAATTATTTTTTATCATTTAACCACTAACTTAATATGTTTGTTTTTTCAATAAATGAATAAAATTAAATATTTTAAACTATGATTCATATGAGAGCAACATGAAAATAAAAATATCTAACCTAATATACCTTAACATTCAATTTTTATCAATGTTTTTAATGATCGGTCAATTTGACCGCTTATGGCCGTTCTGGGTATACCGAATATTCGGCCGTCCGTGTGTTAAAATACGTTTTTAAAGTAGTTCTTTCCCACCTGCGCTGAAACAAATATTTTTTCCTAATTTTGCAGTATAATTTTTTGAAGATATTCAAATCGTTTTTTTCCCACAAGTTGCTAACTACAATTCCCTACAAAATTTTGAAAAAAATACTTAATACGCTCAGTGGCGTAGCTAGGTAACCAAGGGCCCCTGGGGCAAATAAAAAAAATGGATCCCCACTGCTATGTAAACTGATTAGGTTTTATCAAATAAAAATATGAAATATATAAATACTTTAAAAATGCTAAGCTACTTAAGATCTTTTTTCTGCACTGCAGGGCAGGTAATAAAAATATTAAACAGTAACAACATAAATTACAATTAATACTTGAATTAGGTTCGGCTTATAAAACGAAATAGAGAAGATTCAAGGGACCAACTGACTAAATAGCGATTCTATTTACAATTTTTTCCTAGCTTTAGTTTTCGCAAAAGTATCAATGACTTCGTTTAAATCCAGGCCTGATGCGGTTTTGTTTTCAATTGCTATTAGCGATAAATGTCGGAGTCGAGTTTGGCCCATATTATTTCTTAAATAATTTTTTATTATTTTTTATTTGCTAAATGACCTTTCAGCTACTGCAGAAGTGACAGGAATTGTAAAGAATAGTAACATTGCTGTAAATGCTTCCGTTAGGTCGCATTCTAGCACTCCATATTTGCTCATTATTTCCTTCTTTCGCGTCCTGTCATCTTCATCGAACCCTCTTCGACGTGAGATTATTCCACTAAGTTTACAACGATTATATGATGCACGACCCTCATATATACCACCTTTTAACTCTCGCATGCGATCACTCATTCAGACATTTGATTTTTGTGATATACCATCGCAATCTGTAAATTATTTTCTCATCCCACCATGGACTATTTCATCATATTATCTTGATTGTTCATTTGTGTCATACAGTAAATCTAATGTCTCACCTAGCATTTTTCAACAGCTGTTCACTTTCCATCGTNCAAAAACGATTAACTGGCCCATATTTAGAACACGAAACGTAGTACGATTTTGAAAAACACCTATTGTTCTGGTTGATGTCTGTTGGAAAAGGTCCTGAAGGCTGTAAAGGCCCCATATCAAGAATTTGACGTTTTTCGTTATCACTTAATATCTTGTTCGGGAAGTTTCCCAAGTCATAAGAAGATTTGTCGTACACATTTTCGAAAAATGTAGAGGTCTGTGGTTCCTCCAAACCCTCCGCTCTTATGTGTGTCATGCAAACATCATCCACGTTCACATGATCGGCGGCGGAGGTATCTCCAACTGCAATAATTGTCGAATCTTCTTCAGTAGGCTTCTCAACCAACACTGCAGTTACCACATTATTTGAGTCACTATCAATAGAAATATTTTGGCTAGATGTACTTGCAGAAGGCTGACTAAAAAACTTGTCAATTTTGGGCAATTTTTGTTTACTATCTTCTCTTTCTTGGCGTTGTTTGCGTTTAAATGCACCACTGGGTTTCTTCTTTTTATCCATAATTTTAGTTTTCTAATTTATTTAAACAATACAATATTAGATTGTGCTCGAGTAGGTAGGTACTCACTGTTCACTGACGACGTTAAAAGTAAAATAAAAGGAAAGAGAAATACAATGATACGCAACAAGTGTCGTTGGGGAGTCCCCGGGAAAAAAAAAATTATCACTGATAGTGTTACCACATTTAACGGTGGAGACTGTAATGGTTGGCAACTGTTTGGCGACCTTTTAAGGCGCACTTTTGTCATCCCGTCGGAGGGATGCGAGAGAGAGAAAGGTAGATGTATATTTGATATAATCGGGAAAGGGTGTCCCCAGGTATTCTAAGAGCTGGAGGCTCTTACTGGAAAACAATGCCTATGTCTTTTGTTTTTAACACTTTCGCTACCGGAACGCCTCGTGTTGACTGTTGTAATCTTATTTTATCCCGGACTTTCCTTGTAATCACATATTAAAGATCATTTAAGGTCGTGAGAAGAATGCCTTCTCGGACACTTACTTCCTATTGAACATCCGCTATAACCTAAACTACTAAACTCAGTGGCGCGACAGCCCCTTGAGGGCCAAGGCCTACTGTGCCCATCTCAGTTTTCTTGACCTTNGGAGGGATGCGAGAGAGAGAAAGGTAGATGTATGTTTGATATAATCGGGAAAGGGTCTCCCTTGGTATTCTAAGAGCTGGAAGCTCTTACTGGAAAACAATGCCTATGTCTTTTGTTTTTAACACTTTAGCTACCGGAACGCCTCGTGTTGACTGTTGTAATCTTATTTTATCCCGGACTTTCCTTGTAATCACATATTAAAGATAATTTAAGGTCGTGAGAAGAATGCCTTCTCGGACACTTACTTCCTATTGTACATCCGCTATAACCATCTGATGTAATAACAGCTGTGTTGTAGAATCTATGTCAATGTACCATTTAAGTTTTCCTATTTCCTTGTATGTTTCATATAAATACCTGAATCTTTTTGTATAACATTGCATTAGTTCTTAGTTCAATAAAGAAAATGTCACTGTCGACCCACGGCTTCTGACTCTTAACTTATACCGTTATCACAACACCTCGTCAACTAGACTACCGAAAACGCCCGTGAAATTGGGTAGAAATTTTTTCCCCTTTTCGAAAAGAAAAGTGACGCATAATGAGGGAGGTGTGGCAGTAATCGTCCTTGAAGGAATTTTACGAAAAGGGGCGAGAATAGAGGGATTTTTCAACAAAAGTTTGTTTCATATCATTCTGCTCTTGTAAAGTTGCTTTCTCTTGTTTTTTTTTTTTTTTATATATATAAACGAAAATGTCTTTTCGCCGTAAAGGTCTTTCGACCGAAGAAGCTTTGAAAATAATTTTCAATGATGATACAGATGAGTCTGATTTTAATGAATCAGGGGATGATGAAGAATTTGATGATGTAGCTCCAACTGAAACCACTATTGCCCCTAACGATAGCAGTAATAGTGATGAGGAAGATGATGAAGAAAATCCAGTAGAATTTGATTGGACATCTGACGTAAAAAATGAAAAGATCCTTGCTAAAGATTTTTGTCTAAATTCAGGGCCAAACCATGGATTACTACCCGATTCGTCACCATTAGATTATCTAAAGCTCTATTTAACTGATGAGCTTTGTAAATCACTTATGGAAAATACAAACAAATATGCAGAGTTTTGCCAAAAACAGAAAAACATAGAGGACACAAATTAGAGCCCATTGACTTCTATTGACGAATTGTGGTGCTTTTTTGGCATTTTACTCATCATGAGTTTAGTAAAAATGCCTAGAATAAGTGATTACTGGTCTCAAGACACCATATACGGAAATTCTATGGCAAAAAAACTGATGAGTGGGAACCGTTTTTTGAAAATCAAGCATTATTTTCACATCTCTGACAGAGAGTCGGAATTGCAGAAAACGGATGAAAACTAGAGATATTCGCAAAAAGTTCAGCCCATGTTTGATCAAATCCAGGAAAATTTTAGGAAGCACTTAATTCCATACAAGGAACTTGACGAAGCTTTATTGAGGTATAAAGGAAGACTTGGCATAGTACAGTATATGCCCCTTAAACCTGCAAAACGTGGCATAAATTATGGATGCTCTGTACATCAAAGCATGGGTATGTTTCGAGCTTTGATCTATATGGAGGAAAACAGGATAATATCAAGAGAAGTGGAAAAGGTTTGGGATATGACGTAGTGATGCATATGACGCAAACTTTAAAAAATTCGGGACACGTTATTTATTTTGACAGATTTTTTTTCCAGTTCAATTTTAATGTATGATTTATATCGATCGGGTCACTATGCATGTGGTACTCTTATGCAAAACAGAAAAAATTTGCCGGAAAACATAAAACAATTAAAATTAAAAAAACGATCATGGGAGTGCATCTTGGCAATGCCTTTCCTTACCAAATATGCTCTGCACAATCTGGATCGACAAGAAACAAATATACATGCTCTTAACAAACGTTAAAAATGAAAACAAAATAGTCCAAGGAAGAAAAGGATCTGAAAAAATTGACGTATGTTGCCCAGCATCCTTTGAAATGTATAACAAATTTATGGGCGGTGTAGATCTTGCTGATCAGAGTCGTAAATACTATTCTGTTAGTAGAAAATCTTCAAAATGGTGGTATTATCTTTTTTCCTTTGTAATCTATAGAACAATCTAAAAGTAAAAATTCTCTTTATCATTTTAAAAATGAACTCATTCACAACATCGAAACAAGTCATCTGATTCAACGTAAACGTCCTTTTCTAGATTATTCACCAACCTCAGCTAATCATGTGCATAAAAGAAGAAAGATTGAGGGTCGTCAAAGAATCTGCATGAAATGTAAGAATATGAATAGAAAAACTCTTTCGGATAAAAGCATTCAAAGCACTTGGGAATGCGAAACATGTAAAATGGGCCTGTGTAAATCATGCTTTGATTAATTGATATTCTTATATTTTGAATAATTATATTTTGAAAAATTTTTAAATTGTGTTAAATTTATATATCAATGAAATTTTGTTTTCATTAACACTGTTAGAGAGGATGCATATTTGCCTTTCATTTATTTTTACCTTATTTTGAATATCATGTTTTATTTATTGTATTTAAGTTAGTAGTTTTTCATAAATTTTTTAAAGGGCTTAAATTAGTAAATACATGGTATCGAGATATAATAAATTAAGTAATATGCTTTATTTTGTCTTTTTATGTCAAATATTATGTTAATCATAAATATTGCATAAACACTTTTCAGTAAATTTTTTAAACTTCATAGTTTTGACTTTATAGCATAAAAATGATAAATTATAGTTTGCAAATATAAATGTATCTTTATTGTTTAGACTTTATTTGAAAATTTCAGAAAATTTACCTCAATATTGCTTGATTAATTTATTTTATGTTGTGAATTAATAATATTCTGCACGTCTATGGCCTGTGAAAAATGGCGCTATTAAACAATTTTGTTAAAGAGCATGTATATTTGTCTCTTATTTATATTTATACCTATTTTGAATATCACATTGTATCTAAATTAAAAAGATTTTTTTTTTAAAAAAAAGAAGCTTAAATTAGTATATTGTAGCAAAATGTAAGAAACTAATTAATATGCTCCATTTTTTATTTTCAAATAAAATATTTTTAAATTATTACTTTAAATATTATTTATAAAAGTTTTATTTCTTAATTTTATACGCTACATGTTTGTGACCTCATAACATAAATCACACGTTAAATTATTCTTTGCAAATATAAATATATATTTGTTGCTCAGAAATTGTTTGAATAATTCAGAAAATATTTCTTAATATTATTTGATTTATTTATATTTAAAAGTGTTAATTAAAAATATTTTATACATTAATAATGCATGCAAAAATTATGCGGCTATTTAACAATTCTGAAATTAAGTAAAATATTGGCACAAGCAGAGTTATTTACACATTTTTAATGGATTATAATACTTGTACTTTAATTTGAAATGTTCTCTTATTTTTTTTTCTATTTTGATTTTCGCGACAATTTTTTTAACGAATTTTTGATTGAAAATTATTTCCTTAGAGGTTAAAAAGTTCATATTATTTATCAGCTAAAATAAAATCCGGATTGTTTTTAATTCATTTAACCTGAAATTATTGTTTTAAAACTATTTTGTTTTTAACATTTTAAATTCATTTGTTTTTAACATTTTAAATTATGAAACTGTCTACCTTTTTTATCAGAGTTTTTTGGGTTACTTAGGTTGAAAAGAAAATACTAGAGTAATGATGTCAAAGTTTTTTTTTTTTAAAAAAAACATTTAATTATTTAGTTATTGTGTCTTTAAAACTATATGAATTGATCAAAATTATAAACTGCTAAAAGTTCTACAAGACTGAAAGATTACTAAATACAATTAATTATAAATCGAATTTTAAATATAAAATAAATAGGTAAACATTATTTTTTTTAAATTAGAGGGTAGGCTTTGATGCCTTAAAAAATGGTTTTTATATTTATAACAGTAGGATCCAGGAGAAAAAACTGCTTTGATGGGTACCGAAACTATTCTTTGAAATTTAAACTTTATTTTGCATTTGCAGTTGGACAGCTATAAATCATAATTCACGTTGTAATGCTGTTTATGAATGCCTCGCTATTTTCACATATTCAATGCTTGTTATTACTTAGGTATTGCACTTGAAGCTGAAAGGACCCATTTTTTTATTAATTGTTAACATCTGGTCTAAGAACACGAATGTTTACTAGTTGAGAATGTTGTTGGTGTCAAAACTCTAAAAATATTTAAATCTCCATAAATTTATTAATATTCAATTTTAAATGGTATCTTCCAACGAAAGGGATTTTTTGCCTGAGTATAATCGGGAGTAAACTGTAATTTCTCATAAACTTATTCTTTCCTTCATAATGAATGTTCTATATTCAGCTGTCAGGCCACCCCTATCCTTATATTACAAGTAACTCATTAATTTCTGTAAAAGATAAGCGTTATCAGCATAGCTTCTACGGGCTATTGTTGAATGAAAAATAACATGTCATATTATAGATTTTCTCTATTTCTACTTGAAGTTGGGACTGATATCTTTGTCACCAAAATTATAGTGCGGTAGTGTAAGAAATTTCTTCTACATTCCCCTTTTCTTCTAAAGAAATTTCTTGTCACCACACCCACCACATGTTGATAAACAGATGCCGATTTCCGACTCTTCATTAAAATGCAGAAGAATTTAGTCGCATACTCAAAAAGACTAAATTCTTCTGCATTTTACTGAAGAGTCGCAGTGAAATTGGATCGTAAATAGAATTGAATCGTAACAAAAACTCATCAAATTTGAAAAAAAAAAATTTATCATGAGAATCAAAAATTTCTCTTTGACAAGATCAATGTCTCCTTTGAGTTCTGTATCAAGCTAATCATTAATAATTTTTGGATAGTTACATACAAAAAATATAACAGAATAAAAAATTAGACTAAATCGTAAATGTGAAGTTTAAAAAAAATTAACATTTTCTACATAAAAATGAAAGCTTCACATTGCGTTTCTTTTTTGTTCGGTATCAAGCTCATCAATTAAAATAAATGATTTCACTTTCTTTAAATAAAATCTAACAGTAAAAAATTAGCAAATTTAAATCAATCATAAATTGAAAACGCTGTAAAAGTAAGTTGATTAGCTTGATTCATCAGAGAGACCAAGACAAGTATTTTGATGTAAATTAGGAAATAATTGTAAATTATTTAGAGACAAAATAATAATACGTGAATGTACATTTTTATTTTACTAAAATGAAATATAAAATTTTTTTAAAAAAAAATTCATCAAAATCAAAATTCATCAAAATCCACCAGCACTATATGAAGAGTCATCAGCTTTTAATTTCTTTTTAGCAGCGAAAGTTCCCCCCCCCCTAAATTNTCTTTTTTGTTCGGTATCAAGCTCATCAATTAAAATAAATGATTTCACTTTCTTTAAATAAAATCTAACAGTAAAAAATTAGCAAATTTAAATCAATCATAAATTGAAAACGCTGTAAAAGTAAGTTGATTAGCTTGATTCATCAGAGAGACCAAGACAAGTATTTTGATG